TGTTTGTGGGGGGGGTGAGCTCTCAGTCAGGATGCAGGTCACAGGCTCAGTGTGAATCATGTCAACAGCTGCTTACATAAGACCACCACACAAGCACATCTGGCCGCCGGTCACCCGTGTGTCTGCTGTAACGACAGACACTTTACAGCATTACAGCCAGTCAGAATGATGCTCACCTGAGTCTGCGTGAATATTTGATGCATTTTTCATGTTTCAAGCAAAGGTAAAAATAAAATCGATTCTTAACATTTAATAGTATTATCAGGTTTAATCAGTGTTATTTTAGTAGTAGAATAGTTGAAATACTATTATAATTTATCAATATTTTTTATTGTAATATTTTATTTTGGTTAACGTTTCATTTATGTCAAATAATGAAAATATTTTGTATGGTTTTAGTTTAATTACCCTGGATTAAATCATTCATAATGAATATAAATTAATATTATATTGTTTTTAATATATTTAATATATACAGGTGCATCTCAATATATATATATATATGTATATAAACTATCTATTTATTAAAACATATAGTTTTATTTAAAATATTTAAAGACAATTTTCACAATGAAATTGCAGAAAACTACATTATTTTTTATAATTTCATAGTTTTCTTTACGTACATATAATGAAATAACTATACAATTGATTTACCAAACAATAAGTCATGGCGATGAGATTTGCAGTGACATTTTTTCTTCTGCATTTTCTTTTTGGAAGCACCCTACCACAACAAAAACCAAGTCACATGTTAATCCTGGTACACGGCACACATTGCACAATAAACCTGTGAGATCTGAGGCGAGAATGTAGAATAATAGAGCTAAAATTGTAAAGGAGTGTCTGTTTGGTTTGTTGGTATGTGTGTTGGCATGAGGAAATGAAAGCTAAACATTAGCCAGATGGCAGAGAATGCGAGCAAGAACGTTCTAATAATGAAAAGAATGTCTTGTATTATGTTTTTATGTCTTTTATGTGACTGTAGATTGTCTGGGGATCAAATAAAGTCAACAACATCAGCCTGTCATCTTTGTAAGCAGCCATACTGGTGTATAGAGAAATAAGACAACACTTCACCCGAGAAAAGATGCTCTGTTAAAGCAAAACCTGAACAAAAGTTCCCTGTGCATTTCTGATGTCTCAGCATCAAAACTGTGTATAGTCAGCATTACAGAGCCCATAGAAACAAGTTCTGAGATTTTGCTGACTCATAATGCACACAAACATTGTAAGCAGCCATACTGGTGTATAGAGAAATAAGACAACACTTCATCCGAGAAAAGATGCTCTGTTAAAGCAAAACCTGAACAAAACTTCCCTGTGCATTTCTAATGTCTCAGCATCAAAACTGTGTATAGTCAGCATTACAGAGCCCATAGAAACAAGTTCTGAGATTTTGCTGACTCATAATGCACACAAACATATGCATTGCATCCGATTAAATATTCTCTAGAACCAAAACGGGTAAATCTCGGGACCATTCCTCAAGAACATTCTGCAAAACTTGTCCAAACAAGCATCAGTAATGGATATAACCAATGCCCTTTCAAAATGACATGTCAACGCAGGAAGGAAAACGGTGCGTTTAAGGCAGATTCATGTTTAGAAGTAGCAATTAGAGTGCTTTGTTTGTTAAGTCCTGTAAAAACAGAGGCTGCACCCAGCCCTGAGAAAACATTCACTTTATATGACCTGAAAAAGACATCCTTCACCTGTGTTATGTTCACACAATACTTTAATCATGCGATAATGATCATAAATGAAACTCTGAGGCCTGTAAGGAACATAAGATGCCTTGAGGTGACGCTCGATAAAAATATAACCGCACCTGTCTGTTAGCATTTTTATTAGACAATGTTTTTCTCAAGTGGAATAAATTAGTGGAGTGTTGCTCATATCAGGGTTTGGTACGTAACAACCTTTGGGTGCTAGACATGAATCATTTGCTGAGAAAAGTGTGGTGCTGTTTAGTGATCAGATGCAACATTTTTACCTTCCACAAAAAACAAAAAAAAAATCCCATAGATGAACACTGAAGGAGGGACGCGAACCAAATCTAGAGCTCTTTTGACTTGGCGACCAGGCAACCACAAGTAACACAAGTTTACACTGCATAAATGGCACCTCTGAGCTGCATGAAACAGTCTGTTGCTAAACACTGCAA